CATAGTAATATGAGTATACAAATGCTAAGTCCGTTTAGCTTAGGATAAAAATCGATCAGCTTTTCAAGCATTTTGATGAAGTGGTTATGGTGATATCGTCTGTTCATACAAAAGAAGTAAGTAAGTGATATTTATGTCTTGTCGCTACAATTGGCTTTTGATCACCGTACACCACGTTGTGAATATCTAATTTAATCTGTTCATCATGCCTAGAGAGAGAAAATTTTAACAGCTTAGCAAGTTTGATAGTGAAGAATAGTTTTTTATATATACCGAAGCAGCCGCGTAGGCAGAAGCAGCTGTTTAGAGGTGTTAACAGAAACTTTGTTAGTTATTTTCGATTTCTGAACCGCCTAAGGTTAGTAGAACTGGGAAAAGTCTCCTCGGGTCCTTGATACCCTAGGAACAAAGGCCAGTTCTGGATGTGTGAAGATTTGGCGGGTTAGTCTGGCAGGCACATCGTGCGGCGGCATCACAAAACAGAGCTTTGAGGAGCAAATCCCGTGGTATAACGGTGCGAAAGAGCTGGATCGCCGACGGTCCGTCGGTGCGAAATGGTGTCGAGACTGTCCGTAAAGCCGAAAAGAACAGTCCGTTTGTAGAAGTCGGCCATCCATCGGAACCAAATGAGCGCTAGCGAGAGAGTACAGTGCATTGAAAACATTAGACTACACCAAATTCTTACGTCTATCAGCAGTGATAACCTCATGGGCTTTTGTCATCGAGAAAGACGCTGCCAGTCTTCTTTCCTCCAGCCCACCGGCAGAGATCGGTCTGCCACTCTGAATTCCCGCATGTAGAGTGCCGACATCAGCAAAGCTGTGGATCGTACAGGGAAGGAGGCCGCAGATATGTAAAAGGAACAATGTCGGAGCTAAGACCGATCCATGGGAAACAGAAGCGTTGACACTGTGGGATGAAGAGGAGAACGCGTCAACTACGACAGATATCTGGAAAGCTTCTCTGGGAGGCTACAGGAAGGAAGTTTACACAATAGGGCACAATCGATCAAACGCCCTCGTGACATCAAGGGCAACGGCATGAACCTCACCACAATCGTGGATGAGTTTGCGCCACAGTTGCGTGATATAACTAGGTCAGCTGTGTATCGCTGGTGCTGGAAACCGTAAACCTGTCGCTAATCAAGCAGTGGTGTTTGAGGTACTCCAGAAGCTCCCATCACTTTACTTATTACAGAAAGCAGAGCTATAGATCTGTAGTAGTAAGCGTCGGTCATAGGAGCTTTTTTCAGGAATTGTTGAACATGAGAAAATTTCCGGTTTTCTGGGAAAGTGTCGGATTCGTAAGATATCTGGAAGAAACTGGAGCAAGCTCCGCCGCATATTTCTTCAATACAATGGCAGGAATCAAGCCCGGACCAGAAGCATTGTTGATGCCGAGTGATAGGAGCACCCATCTTACTGAAGCTTACTTCCCGCATAGTGTAGGGATCCCTTTGAATCGACGAAGATGTTGGCAAGCACTCTTTAGCCTTTGAGTCGGTTACAATCGACTGCCATTGCATTGCGACATTACCCCGTGCCACTTTTACATCGTGCTTGTCTCTGGCAATGCGAACCGCTTCTTCATATTTGTTTCTGGACACGGCGTCGGTTTGTGCGTTCTATACTGCCGACGAGTAGTGTTGCACTATTTGTTGAAGCAGCTGCTGGATCCTGGTTTAGGCCCTTTCGCTGTATTAGGGCTGTAATCCTCCATCGCATCGTGGATAATTTCGGTTATTGATGAACATACCGGATAAGCGAAACAGACATCTCACCAAGGAAAGTTGGAGAAAAAGTCTCTAAGCCCTTCCCAGTCGGCATACCCGTAATGGCAAATTTTGCGGTCTGGCCGAGTTTCTGCTGCCACACCGGTCTCTGACCAAAACCTAACCTCCACAACAACGTGGTCTGAGTTACCCAGGAGACAAAAGTCATGATGCGTGGCCAGAAAGAGATCCAGCAGACTACTGACGTATGACGAAACGCGGGCGTAGGGCTTGTCACCCGCTGGGTCAGACCTTGTGTAATAGCGAATGCTTCAGCAGCACGACTTGCTACATAGGTCTTGTTTGAGCCCAACTAGAGCTCATTGTGGGCATTAAAATCACCTAGGAGAAGTACTTCCGAAGCATGCTGATTGATGTTGAGGAAGTTGGCCCATTTTGAAGACAATCACGTCGATTTGTTGCTTTGGCCTCTAGATCTCCAGATCTTTCACCCATTGTCCGTTTAGATGCTCCATTTGAACAATTGTTTTTGCAAATTTTGCGTAAAAAGTGACCAAATGGCGAATGAATTATAAATATTTTTCTATCGTATTTTTGACTTTGCAAGGTTATTTGTATGGTGGTTCTTATAACAGGGGACCTACTTTGGTAGATTTTATTTCGAACAAAGAGTACAAGGTAGTCAAACAACAAAATGATAATTAGGTTCTTCAGCTTTGTCTTTGTCTTTTCGCACAATCGATGGTATAATTTTATACCTGTAATACAGTACTACATTTACTTAATTTATACTAAGTGACATATAAATCCGAACACCCAGTTTAAATGGTTTTATTTTAATAAAATTTTGTATAAGTACTTAATGAAGCATAATAAGTAAATGATAAAAATTTCAAAATGATTGTACTGCTTTAAAGCCCTTTGACCTTTAATAATGTGTGGATGCACCCTGATGTGCTACGCATTCTCCAACGCGCCTAGGCATGCTTCTGATCAGGTGGTCAATGTCCTCCTGTGATATGTCATTCCAGGCAATTACCAACTCCTCTCGAAGTGCTTCTAAAGTCTGAGGAGGACGTTACAAATTGAGCAATCTCCTACCCATCATATCCCACACGTGCTTAATTGGGGATAAGTCGGGAGATCTTGGTGGCCATGGTAACAATGTGACATCATTATGTTGAAAGAAGTCTATTGTGATTCTTGCAACATGTGGTCGGGCATTATCTTGTTGGAAAGTTGGATCTGCCAGGGTGTCAAGATAGGGTAAAAGATGGGGTTCTAGAACTTCGTGGATATAACGTTGCGCGTTCATGTTACCTCTGATGAAGATTAAAGGTGACCTGGAACCATAAGCTATAGCACCCCAAACCATAACTCCAACAGTGTGATGAACATGTCCTTCAACAAAAAACTGTGGATTCCTCCTTTCACCACGTCGCCTTCTAACCCTGGCACGACCATCGTGCATGCCTAAACAAAATCGAGACTCGTCACTAAAGACAATACTGTTCCATTCCTGATCCCAGAGTGACCGTTGTCTGCACCACTCAAGGCGATTACGTCGGTGTTCTCGAGTTAAAGGGAGGACCCAGTGTGGCCGGTATGAAAACAAGCCAAAACTTCTCATTCGTCGGTAAACACTTCGCATGCCAATGGGTCTTCCGTGTTCTGCAAACCATTCATTTGCAATGGACCTGGTAGTGGAGAAACGGTCCCTTAAGGCCAATAATCTTAGGCGGCGATCTTCACGGTCTGTTGTTCTACGGCGGCGTCCAGTGCCCCTTGCTCTTTGCGTACGGCCTTCTCGAAGCCATGCCTGACAACACCTAACCACAGTGTCTACACTTCTTTGCACTCTAACTGCAATTGCCCGAAAAGAAAGTCCAGCTTCCCGAAGTCCCACTATACGGCCCCTATCAAACTCACTAAGTTGACGAAATCGTACAGGTCTCCGTACTCTAGGCATCGTAACCGATCGTAAAGGATGTCAAGAACTAAAATCCGCCAACGTTGATTCTTTACTGCGGCTGAAATATTCATTTTTAGAGCGTTAGTGAATTAAAAAAAAGCAGTATAAAAACCGGAATGTACAACTGATAAGGCTGAAAAATGTTTCACTTGTTATTTACAGTAAGATAAATACATTCACGAACTTTTATTAAAATAAAACCATTTAAACTGGGTGTTTGGATTTATATGTCACTTGGTATATTATAATTTGAAGTTGAAATCCTACAATACCCTTCACTATTCATTATAAAGGATTTGCAAACTTTCTTGTATTTTTTTGCCATGTAGGCAACACTTGCCTCAGTAGTATCATTAGACTGTTGTTGCATTTCTTAAGTTCACGGTACATTAGCTCTTCAAAGTCTGGAAGTTGTTCATCTCTCAAGATCGCATAGTTTTCAGTGAACTTCAGTTTTAACAGTGTCCTTTCTCGTATGGTTATAGTAGCTTCGCTTACTACTTCAAATTTTGCCTTAATGCAACTAAGGAAAGCGTAAAAAACGGTATCGTGAGCTGAAAGAAAAAAAACGGCATCAAATAGGTTGAATTTAACATAAATGATTCTTTGGAAAAAGTTAGACCCTCTTAGAAAATGTTAGCTACGAACATGTAGAATAAAAAAATGACTCAAATCAGTCAAACGTGCCCATATCACTATTATACCTATAGTCCACACTCATTTGAGAACGTTGCGATCTAGAAATTTGTCCCTAACCTACCGATAGTACCGACCATCTGGCAACGTTGCTATGACTAACTTCACCGCTCCTAGGCACTCACTCATATGTGAGACCTCAAAAAAGGTGTATTTACGTTCGCTGTGTTGCTTGGGACGCCTATATTGAAAATATTTCCTGATTATTAGTGGTCAGACAGACTGGCAGAAATGAGTGGCGTGGTTTTCAGTGATGTACATTGTACATGTCATATAACATCCAAAAAATATACTATCTTATTTTCGTGATTACTGCGTCAGAGATATTTTTCTGTAGCTGACTGTATGCGATTCAAGCCGGTAATCCAAAACATATATTTCTGAGCATTTAACTTAGAGTGGATAAATACTGTTAAGACAAACGTCAGAATGTTGACAAGCTTACTAGCAAGGTATCCAGCAGGTATCCACAGTCCAAAGTCCATAACCATTAAGGCATTCTTACACTGTCCGGCGGTACTTGTTTGAAATGGTATGACGAACAAATGGGGGATGAAATCATAGCAAGTTGTATTTACGCCATATCGACCTGCATTGCTATCAGCTTCCAGATTTTTTCCAGCCGAAAAATGTCCTCCAAGGGCGACCTACTTGCAAAAGACTTAGCTATACAATATCCTGGGTATAACAAAAGTAACGGAACGGCTCTAGATTTTTTCAGGTGAGGCATTTTTGAAAAAGGTCAAGGTCAGATCCCTGCAAAAGTTGAACAAGGAGTTCAACGGTGACCTTTGATTTTACCTTGAAGCTCACTTTCAAGGTGATTTCAAAAAAAACCTTAATTTTAAAATGGAAATCCTTTTTTGGACAGCAGCGATCGAAATCACGGACCTTTTACATCAAAATATGTAAGGTCAAATAAACGAAAACTGTGTGAGGAATGGAAAAATTCCAAGATGATTAGCAGGACTACTGATGAATAAAATTCTTCTTAAGAGTCAGTCAAGGCCTTATCTTGACTTTTTGTCTAACCACTCTAACCGTCATTTGACCATAAGAGTTGACCTTGCTCTTAGACTTTAAAATACATTTGGAAGTCGAATTTTCCGTTCAAAAAAGTGTAGACCTGACCTTGACTTTTCTCAAAAATACCTTATCTGGATAAATACGTTCTTTCCGTTACTTTTGTTACACCGGGTATCTATTACCAAAATACTGTGTTATCTTTTTAGAGACAGGAAGTAGTTCTTCATTGAGTGAAAAACCGAGCAAATTCACGGCCAGGAATATTGTCCATATGCAGGATGAGCTTTCAGTGTGAAATCGGTCGACACCTGCGTTATAGTGAGAGATATATAAAAAAGTTTCTTACAATAAAAGAATACATTTCCAAAAACAAGCATTTATTTAGCTGCTAATAAAATAAATCGAAAATTTAAAAATATGTTTTTTCCATTGGAAATGTTTAAACAATACAATGAGTTTTTTAGATAAAAGCCTGTAACATACTTTTTCCATCTTACTGTCAAAAGGTAACTAGCTTTTATTTGAAAACCTGCGATGAAGGAGCTTCATTATCATTTGAATAAGAATATTTATAAATTTTCAGCTCATTTTATTAACTGCTGTTTTCAAAAATGTATTTTTTCAATGTGTTTATCCTTTAATTTTCAGTATTTATGATGCCATATAATCAGTTTGGTAATTTCTATATAATTTTGATATATTTCGTTATTAGGACTCCGTAAAACTTCCTACCTTATTTGTATTCTAGAATTTCGATATATATAAATCATATAGCGATGAATCGATATTAAGCCGTTCCATTTGATACCAATATCGTAGCGATAACTAACCAATTGCCATTTATCGACGGCTGCCATATTGGATTTAGAATGACGTCCCGTTGCTTGTGATGTTTCTCTCATAAAGTCCTTTAATTTTATAACCTCCCAGCCTTATTGTATTTCTCTCATCAAGACCTGCCTATCATAGTGGTAACTATGAAAAATGTAAATCGCCATTTTGTAGCAGCCGCCATATTTGACTTAGTATGACGATACTTTGCTTATTGTGTTTCTCTCACCCCTATGATTAATCGCCATTTTGTACAATGCGTCACCTTGGATTCAAAATGGCGGCAGTTTAATCATTCACCTAAACCTGTGTACAGAATTTTATCTCAATTGGTTCAAAATTTCGTTCCAACATTTGTCCTACACATACTAACAAACAGGTCAAGCTAAAATCTTGTATTTGCATTTATTTTCATTTCTTTTAAAGGAGGAAGCTTAAGATCCAATATATGGAGTTACGGGATAAACAAATTCTCAACCTTTACAGCTTGTCGGCTAATCACTTTTGCAGATAAAGTAGCAAATCTTTGGTTAAAATAAGCTTCATTCCCCATGCTTTTTTGGCATTTAAGCGTTTTTCAATGTTGTGCAATAAAATGAACCTTTTGTCAAGAAATTCGAATGGAGCAACTCCCATGTTTCATCAACATCATATTTTCCAAGTAAGGACCGTATATTTGCCTATAATTATTGTAAATAACTTTTTTAGATATCTTTTACAGGAATTTTATTGGTGAATTTTACATTGAAAACTGACTCTATGCATGGGGAGCTGCTGCCCCGACTACACTAACAATACTTCATGCTATTGCTATTTTCTACCTATATGTCGATAGAGTATGTTTCTCTGATTACGCTTTCACGATAAGCCCTTATCCTACATCGATAATTGATCAGTGGATGCTACTTTCCTCCTATGTTATGAAAAATACAGAACAATCTAACCTCGAATCTAGAAAAAACTCAGGATAAAATCTCTTCAATCTCTGATTACTAGTGCAGGAGTGTATCTTTGGATCTTTCTGGAAAAATTGTCTAATTCGGTTTTTCTTTTTTAAAAACGACTCATTTCAACGAGTCTGCATGTTTCCATGCCAAAAATTGCGATAAATCGTTTTGGCATAAAACAAACTGAATAAACTGTTTATTTCACACCGAAGAAATGTTTTTGACTTTTTTGGGCCATTCTGAGCAAAAAAAGTTCTTATGGAATTTTCTTTAAAGTGGATATAAGCGATTTAATAATTCCCCATGTTTCTGTCTGACCGAATCAGACCACAGATGTTTAAGATTAATTTTCGTTGTATGACGTTTCGGTCCCAACGATGACCTTCTTCAAATACAATTGACACTTTTTTGAAAATAGATATATTTTATTTATCTGTTCTCTAGGTGGCACTTCCTTTCATTTTCACATTCCTCTACAGTGTGTTACTAAAATCGTATTTGAGAACAAACTGTCAAAGGAAAAACCTGGATAAAAACTCAGGGTCTATTAATTAGCTTTCCTTTAAGGATACTCAACCAAATTGACACACAGTCCACAGAAGAATTAGAAAGAACTGTTTTTTGCGTCGACAGTTGCACATTTTGCACTTTTTTAGATGTTAAGTCGCTTATATCTCGAAAACTATCAACACCCAAAAAAACAAAAAAAACTTTGTCCGAGCGGAAAAACTAATGTATGGAATGTTTAAAATACTGTACAAAATGACAAAATGCAAATTTGTTGGTAGGGGTCATTTTTGAGTAAGATTCTGCAAACCAAACCCGAAGCTACGACCCCCATACTAGTAACCAGAGACTGAAGAGATGTTTCTAGAGTTTTTGGTAGATTTGAGGTTAGATTGTTCTGTATTCTTCATTACCTAAGAGAAAATTAGCAATAATACTGATCAATTCTTGAGCAAATGCGAAGATACTTTCTGGACTGTATACTTACTGGAGTTTGGTACAGAGATATTTATAGTTTGGAACAGCACTTAAGGTACCTCCAATCATGAGATGAGCAATAACTTTGAAATACATATTTCACGGGTTTCAGTCAATGGAATTTGACAGTACGGAAGTGCTAAGTCGCTGGTCTGACCAAAATGGGTAAGGGCATATAAATAGGACATTTTGATGCATTTCGACAATCGTTCCCTTAGCGTGATCGTCTTGTTATACATTTCTTGTACTTCAAGCAAGATACTGTGAGTAAACAATTACTGGGTTATAGTGATTCTGATTATACATTTGAGTATGATATCGTATTTAAATTAGAATTTAGAATATGGGATTTCTAACTCCGAAACCAATCTCGTTCACACTAATGCAAATGACCTGTACTTCACACTTCTTTTACGTGTGCGGAGCAGTGGCTTTATTTCAGTATATATACTAAAATTATAAGAAAATAAAGAAATGTATTACTCACCATCCAATAAGCCAAGTAGGTAATCTTGGTAATACGATCGTAGAACGTTTTAGAATTTTCAACTATGTTTGCACTATTACATTCCTCATACTCAAAACTTTCACTCTGAAGGAGACACTTCAGTTCTGCGAGTTTAGCTCGATTGTAGATCAGTATAGCGATCTCCAAAATACCTACGCTGTTGTTGATGAGCATGGCCATGTGAGGCACTAGCAATAGTAGCTCTCCCATTATAGTTTTGATTATCAGAATCTGGCTAAAAGGAATCTCCGTAAAACATGAAGGGTGCCGCGAAAGGTGGTTTGGGATTTTTTAGCGGCAATTTCAGCACCTTTATTTAATTATTCTGTAATCGGCATGTTTCGTTAAAAGATCTGGAAAGGGTTTTTGGCCCTAGTTTCAAACTGATGGCATCTATGAAATACTTGCATATGAATATACATATACTAAGTCACATAGAAAAGGACACTTAGTAATAATGAATTTATTAGTATTTTTTTCGTATACAAGTCTCAAAACTTTTGAAAAAAGATCCATCCGTTGAAAAAATGTGAAAAGCTATTAATTTGTTGGGGCTTCACGATGTCTTATGCACTCAGAAGCACGTATGGGCATACTCCTATTCGGATGATCGATTACCTCTTGAGAAATCCCAGGCTACCGAAGTGTCGTTGGAGCCTGTGAAGGATGGGGTAAACGTAGTAATATTATTCCCGTAATGCCCCAGACGTCTTTAATGGGCGAAAGGTCGGAAGATCCTGGGGCCAAGACAACAAATCGACTTCATCGTCTTCATCATAATTTTGGATATATGTGGTGGCGCAGTATCTTGTTTTGTTGGAAAACTGGGCTGGTGAGAGTCCATATATAAAGGTGGAATTCCACTGAGGCAAAAGTGAACAACATGCGGCATGCTACTTGTTTCCTAGTGTTGTCTCTTGTTGACGTTCGACCGTGTTGCCCAAAATTCTATTAATGCCACATGCGGATTTTGTTTCCTTGTGTGGCATGCGCTTTGTCATACATGAGTGTAGCCATGCGTCTTCTCGGTTCAATTCAGGCAATTTCAGTTTAGTACGTCATGTCCTTACAAACAGTCGCGGCTTATTTAGTAATTTATTTGGATCGGAAAAGAAACAGAAAAATACCAGAATATTTGAAAAGAAATATATATCCCCTTCTTGCAGGGCGATGATCCATTCTTTTACACGTAATTTTTTTCGTTTCCGATTTAATTATATTTACCTGACAATTCCCATAATTTATCCTGCTTAAGAGAGTGTTCCGCATGCGTCCATGCCATATACTACTTGTTGCCCAGAAGTTGCCTCAGTGGAATTGCGGCTTAAGGCAAAGCACGTCGTTTCCTCATCTCCGAGATGGAATGCACGGCAGTCATGTTGCCTCTAAGGAACACCAAATGTTTCTATAAGCAAAAGCTAGCGCTACTATAATTCTAACAGTGCAGTGCATATGCATCTCTATCGAAAATTGAGAACCTGGTCATTCACTTCATCGCCTTCTCATCCGTACACATCATGCATCTCCAAACAAAATCCGGATTCATCACTCAAAACTGTGGATCCGGCGATAAGCAATTTGCATTGTAATAGGCTTTTCATGCTCTCAGAACTATTGTCACCGGTCTGTAATTGACCTTGCGGTCTCGTAGAGCCAAAAGATTGAGGGTTCGATCTTGGTGTGGTGCTGTTCTTCTGACATTCCCTGTACCTCCGAATCTTTCCTGATTCCATGCTCGACAACAAACTGCCGCACTACTTAGATTTCTGTGCATTCTGGTGGTTATCTTTCAAAAGGTCTGACCAGCTTCACACAAGCTCACTATTCGCACACCAGAAAACTCGGTAGGCTGTTGAAAATTTTCTAGTCTTATCATTATAGGCATAATGAACAGATTGAAGCAGCTCTTCACAACTCATTATACGATGATTAAATGTCAATTATAGATAAAAAACACAGTTATCGCTCAAATACTTTTTTGTAAGAACAGGCGATATCATAGAAACCACTTAAACCACATGGTTGAAGAACTGACCCAAGCAAAAATATGCTTGGAAAACCTTTGTAATTAATTCACTATTACTGTGTGTTCTTTTTTCTATGTAATTTAGTATATTTTGAACTTTTGTCGACATTTTGTCTTTTACTTTAGTACCTGTTCCTCAAAAGCCCAAAGTTTGAAATTTTGAAATTACTGTACAAAATCCACCCTATTTCGAATATTTAAGCTTTAAACAAACCTTATAGTAAAATAAGTAGCGTACAGCACCAGAAACGTATCCCATGTGACAAAAAATACTCTCTTCCGTGTACTGGACGTCTCAGGCTCCAACCACACTCCGGCTATCTTGCTGAACATCTCGATGGTGCTGAAGAAGTCATTCTTAGTAGATGGTGACCGCATGGTCTTGATTGGATTTCTAATGTAAGACGAACTGCTTTATACAACATTTAGAGGACAATAATTCCTATTTACTGTTTGTCCTATTGATTATGGGGTGTATTGTGGTATTACATTGTGTTTTTCTGTGAATGTTGGTAAGAGAACTGGTCGCTTGTAATTAAGCTTAGTTAATTAGAAGGTTATAGTAAAATGGATTCGTTAGAAGATACTAGATGGGAGGTAACTAATATACAGGGTCTTCCACCAGCTGAGATTTCTATGTATCAGATTTATTCAACACTAGCTGCTACCCGTGACTCCGAACGCTCAAAACTGTTAAAATAACCCAAATTTCCAAATTATCAAAGTTATATTAAATCAATTTATACATTGTAAGAAATATCTGTCCAGTCTCAAGATAGAAAATGTTAATATGTGCAGAATTATGAAAAGGTGAATATGTGTCAGATTGTGGAAGCCCCCACACCCCTATTCTCAAGCCACAAAAACCATTCTTGGTTTGAGAACCTCGTTATTGCCAATTTTAGGTTACTTGCAGGAAACTCTCACGGATTTCTAACTCACGAGTAGTACCCTTTAAACCCCCTGACATGGTCCTGACTCAAAATCCATTCTGCCAAATCCTAGGTCTTTACTAAATAAATGCAAAGGAGTTTCGTACAGGTGAAAATAACCTCATCTCCTTAAATTCGGCCCTATCGCAAAATTCTTCTTAGCTGACACGTTTTGTCCATCAGCTACCTTTCTGCCAATTTTTTCAAAAAAAACTGTTTATTTATATATCTGCATGTGGATGGACATTTACTAAAATATTCACAACTATACAAAGTGTTCCAATTTTGACACACATATCGAAGGTGATTTTTTTCCAATAGAATGCCATACTATTTATTACATATTCCGATACACGCTTTTAAAAGAAGAAGATTAATGTGACAAACTTATGGGTTTTGATTATTAGTTGTTGAGCAATCTTATATAAAAACACTACTTTGATAGTTTACGTATCTGCAATCTTGATCGTTGGTGTAGGGAATTTTATGTTAATTTTTTTTCATACTAAATGTAAAACCTGATTTATCGCTTTTTTAACGATCAATAATGTGCAAAAACGCAAAACGCACTTTGTGCCAAAAAAATAAATAGTTCCCCCTTCATTTTGGATTCCGTTGTTTCCAAGCTTCTCACTCATATAAGGGTCAATGGAGTTTATGCATGAAGTTTTCGAGTTATTTACAGATCGTAAATTGCACATTGTGCCAAACAAAAATCGTACGATCCATGAAAAAAAAATAATAAAAAGCAGATTTATAATTGAAACTAAACATTCCTAACTCACTTAAACTAAACCTTATCTCAGAATATAAGAAAGTCCAAGTTTATGTATTGAAATTGAACAGTCAAAGATGGATACAAATACCATTCTTGGTTTGACAACCTTTTTATTGCCAATTTTAGGTCACTTGCAGGAAACTCTCACGGATTTCAAACTCACGAGTAGTACCCTCTAAACCCCTTAACATGGTCTTGTCTCAAAATCCATTCCGCCTCTTAACAACCTCCCTGTCAAGTTCTAGGTCTCTACTAAATAAAAGCAAAGGAGTTTCGCACAGGTGGAAATACCCCTATCTCCTTAAATTCGGCCCTGTCACAAAACCTGTCTATTTATACATCTGCATCTGGATGGACATTTACTAAAATATTCACATCTATACAAGGTGTCCCAATTTTGACACACATATCGAAGGTGATTTTTTTCCAATAGAATGCCCTACTATTTATTACATATTCGGATAGGCGCTTTTAAAAGAAGAAGAATAATGTGACATACTTATGGATTTTGATTATTAGTTGTTGAGCGATTTTATATAAAAAACACTACTTGACCGGTGAAGTAGGGGATTTTATGTTAATTTTTTTCGTACTCAATGTACAACCTGATATATCGGTTTTTTAACGATCAATAATGTGTAAAAACGCAAAACGCACTTTGTGTCAAAAAAATAAATAGTTCCCCCTTCATTTTGGATTCCGTTGTTTCCAAGCTTCTCACTCATATAAGGGTCAATGGAGTTTATGCATGAAGTTTTCGAGTTATTTACCGATCGTAAATTGCACATTGTGCCAAACAAAAATCGTACTATCCATGAAAAAAAAATGATAAAAAGCAGATTTATAATTGAAACTAAACATTCCTAACTCACTTAAACTAAATCTTTTCTCAGAATCTAAGAAAGTCCAAGTTTATGTAATAAAATTGAACAGGCAAAGATGGACTTTATAATAAAAATTAAATTTTCTATGTTGAAGTATGACTGGAACAATATTTCGAATCCGAAATTATGAAAGGGACACTGTCTAGATAAAACATAGAAAACTAGTAATATACCGTGTGCTTGTAAATTCAACTTCTTGATCGTGGTGACCTCACAAGCATTTGGCTTAGGTGTCCAACGGTTAATTTTTCATAAATTTCCGTACAGCGAAATGAAACTGTGTCATATACCTAACCTATAAGCTATATATATGTATATTGAAATTTTAACCATTAGCTTAAAAGTCAAAAAAACATCCACACAGCTCCCAATTCTTAACGGAAATCAGATCATTTTAGATTCTGTTTCGGTCAAAATTGCCAATATACTATAATGATTTTCATTCCATCACAATGAAATATATGATGGAATGGTTGACAGTCTGGTGAGGCATGTGATTAATTTTCGGGCAGTATATGAACGCACCTTGATTCACAAAGATAAATTTATGCACATTTTTTGACAGCTGCTGGAATGATTGCTCCCCACGTTGGATTCTCGAACACACGGATATTGTCAGTACTGATTGCTTTATGGTTTGTTCGTACACTCGTCGGTGACCTGCCGGTGACTGTGTCTGGGATCCGGCCTTGTGAATTCCGTCTATATAACGTAGCAGAATGAACGGGAGTTGTGTGACAGAACCTTGGACACGATCAACGACAGGTTGGCGGAAGCTGTACGAACCGGACTTACGTGGATATTATATATTAAATTTTCTAGTACTCGTATATGCTTCGTTATATATAAAAATACTACATATATTATCTCTCCTATATTTTGTATGATAGGTTAATTGAATTCAAATTGATTAGAGAATAAGTTTACATTGTTTGTTCTCAAATAAAACGGTAGAAATATCTACCTTCATTAGTTTTTGCCACTCTACGAATTATTCAAGAAGCACCAACTCCTAAAATCGTCTAACACCATAATTATCTACAAACACTTATACAGGGTGGTCCATAAGTCCTTTGAAATTTCAAATTTGAATAAAATTTAGCGGGTGAGCGTGAGCGGCGCGGGCGAGGTGGTGGCAGTATCTTCAGTGTCTGGAAATTCAGTCGCCATGGAGTGTTTCACTGGAGCGGATCGTGCTTTTTGTGTGCGCGCGTTTTATCAAAATAATGATTCGGCAACCATTGCGCGGCGTAAATATCGAGAATACCACAATTTACACAATTTTACAAAGTGTCCAACAGCTCAAACGATTAAGAACTGGGGTGCTAAGTTCGAAGAGACTGGTTCGACGTTAGATAAGCAGCGGTGGGGTCGACCAAGGATAACTTGTATTGAAGAAAACATCAACATTGTGGCACAGTCTGTTCGTCAAAATCCTACCCAGTCTACTCGTAAGCGTTCCAGTGCACTAAACGTACCCAGAACATCTTTACAGCAGATTTTAAGGAAAGATTTACGTCTGCACGCTTACAAAATTCAGTTAGAACAGGAATTAAAAGATAATGACGCTATTCAGAGACTAAACTTTGCGAATGAAATGTTGAATCGATTTTCTTCGCTCAATAATGTGTTGTTCTCGGACGAGGCTCACTTCCATTTAAACGGGCATGTAAATAAACAAAATTGCCGTTATTGGAGCCCCGAAAATCCAAGGCGTAAGCATCAGAAGCCCTTACACAGCCCTAAAGTTACAGTTTGGGCTGCTATGTCAGCGCATGGCATCGTAGGCCCTTATTTTTTTGAGGACGACAGAGGTCGCGCATTAACTGTTACTTCGGAGCGGTATGTAGCAATGATAGAAGATTTTTTGACACCAGCGTTGCAGAATTTTCCAGGCTATAATACGCAGACCTGGTTTCAACAGGACGGAGCAACTGCCCATACCTCCAACACTTCTATGCCCGTCGTCTGTCAACTTTTTCCCAGCAAAGTAATTTCTCGAAGATGAGACATTTCCTGGCCACCACGTAGTCCAGATTTGACCACAATGGACTTCTTTTTATGGGGCTACCTCAAGAGTAAAGTGTACGACACCACTCCGCGATCAGTTGATGTCCTGAAAGAAAATATCCGAAGAGAAATGGCAAGCATTACAGTGTTGACTTGCCGCGCAGTCATCGACAATTTTAGACGTCGTTTATTGAGTGCCGTTATCGTAATGGATTGCATTTAGACGATGTGATTTTTAAAACATAATTCCCATTCAATAAAGATGATAACAAAATATAATAATTCTTCATAATGTAAATAGTTTGGTTTTATTCCTTTTTTTCCAGCTCAAAGGACTTATGGGCCACCCTGTATTTCCAGAAAATACGAATTTAACGTCGGAACTAACAAAAAATTAACTCATTTCAAGTCCACTGTTAGTATTCACTCCTGTCCTGACTACAAACCATGAGATTTTGGAGACCAACAAAGCAGCCGTAGGCTTGCTCCTTCTATCTAGTTGTAACAAATCTTTTGTTTCATAGATCATTTCTGATATTTTTAAGCGATTGCTGAGCTTATTTGATAAAGAATTAATTAAAACCGAAAGGCTAATCTTACATGACCCCTGAACTTTATATCAGAGAAAAGCTTGTGAAAACTGGAATCCAAAGATATTAAAATATACAGGATGCTCTATATTTTTTTTTGAGGAAGAAGTGCATTTCAATTGAGGGCAATGAAAATATTTTGCTACAAAATCCACTACTCCACTTGTCAAGACTGTAGAAATGCATGTTGTCAATCATTGGTGTTTTTTAGACAAAATACCCAATAGCTCAACGACTGATAATCAAAACTCATAAGTATGTTCTATAAATGCTCTCCTTCCAAAAAGGGCTTATCCGAATATAAATAAATCCATTTAAAAAATCAACTTTAATAATCTTGCTGGTCAAAATTGGGGCAGCTTGCATAACTATAAATATTTTGGAAAAGCGCTCTAGGTACCATATTCTAACCAAGGTGCAAAATTTTAGGGGATGACTCGTTAGGTCGCTTTAATAAAAAAGTTCCTATGAACATATGTCCGAAAAAACTCGCGTCAATGACGTTTTTGTCGTTTTTATATTTTTTAGATTGAGCAACAAGAAATATAACTCTTTGGTCTATTGTGCTTGCTTCAGACTTAGGTTCGTTTTTGAGAAAAAAAAATTAAAATCAACTCGACTCATTCTAAAAACTATCCATTTACAACATAGTTGAATGTTTATTTTCATAGTGAACGAGATATCAAGAAATCACAAGAAACCAGAAAAACCGTATTTTTAGTTGCTTAGTCTAAAAATATATAAATTTTAAACAATCATAGGTGTACTTCTTTTCTCGATAATATGGCTTTGCTTCCAATCTAGATAAAGCTAAATTAGCGTCTTATTACTACAGATAATCATACCAACATCAAACCACATCGGTTTAAGTTTATTTATAATTTATTATAAATACTGTTTATCTTTGTATCTCATAAATGAAGTAACTCCGGGCATATATTCATAGGAACTTTTTTTTAAAACAACCTTTTAAAGTTTCATACCGTAGCTAGGAAACATTCTGTATAATATTACAAAAATAGTTTTCATTAAAAAAGTTTTTGCTTTGGGTAATTGGGATATTTCGTCTCCGAGCTGACATGTCCTGCCCACAAAGTACTTCCTTCCTTATATAAATTTCTATAAACCTAACTTAGAAAGTGATAAGGTTTCCTACACAAAGATTTAACTCCACCCAACCCGATCTTACGCATATAATTTCTGGAATTCTAGATCATGTTTTTTTTATTTTAAAGATAAATTTATAGACAAAACATACTCCTTATTCTAGGCTGGCCTTATTGGAAATATTCTAGTTTCTAACAAAACAAACTATTATCGTTATCGATGTATCTGGATTTTAAACCGTCTTCAAAACTGTTGCGTAAGAAAAAGCTGCTTTTGATACCTACAAATAAGTTGCTGTTGTATATTAAGGTATTTATGAAAGTTTTAATTACCTACCTGGACAAATGTTTGCAGTGTTAAAGGAAAGAATTTCCCAATGGTCAAGTGTAAAGGCTTTTGCATTCTATTCATCATGATTAACATAGATCGTTTAAATCTGGCACTGGAACTGTACCAGTTGCATCTGTACAGACAAGTATTGTAAGCTGCCCCCTAAAATATGATAGATATTCATAGACAGAAGTATACATACAGATTATTACGAAAAGGCACTTGTGGAAAACCGTTTTATGTTGAGGCTTCTCAAACGGTGTCGCAGCCCCTTTCAGGAACCAGTTTTTTTTTCGGCGAATAGGAGACTCGACGTTTGCCAGACAAATAAAAGAAACCCGATTTTAAAGACCATATCATGTTGATAATTTTAATAATAACACAGGAATATATACCTACTCCGATACAGATAAAATAGTAGTTATAGAAGCTTGAAAGACTTTAGCCGTTTTCCACATAAAAGCGCATATACCGGGTGTCTCAAGTTCGACCTTCACCATTTGGATCTCGGAAACTGTAAGAGATACGAAGCTGGTTGGACCGGGCAAAGTTGCATATTTAGGTAATCAACAAAATGCCGATTAGTTTCGAAATTCAAAGTACTTCCGGAGAGAGAAAGAGCAAAACAGTTATCTTGTCGTCTAGCATCAACTTTATTTTTTCTCATGAACACCATATTGGATTTTTGCACAAATGAATAGAGTTTTTAATTCTGATTACATAAATGTATATTACGTCTTACACTGACATTGTCAGGTGCTAGTTATTCCAAAAAAGTACAATTTTTTGGGTAGGCCTTGAAATTATCAGATAGTCGTTTGTTTTCCATACCTCATCCCAAAATCACCTTCATTTTTCCTGACTTCATTTGAGATGGGATTTCAATTGCATGTTGTCATTGTGACTTATTCTTCTCTACAACATGAGGTAGTCAAATTTTGAATTCGACATTTTTCTTCACACAGACACTATATTGGAATTTTGTACATTTAAATAGATTTCTGAGTCCTAAACTCAGTGGTGTATTTCTTTAGTTTTGCATGATATTGTTGTATCAAAATTATCAAGAAATAAAAAGGTATGGTGAAACCAGAGCACAACATTAAAATCTTATTGATGGAACTAGGAATAATAATCATAAATAAGCAGAGGTAAATCATAGCAGATGTTCAAAAGGTCGGTTATTTTGTAGCCAAAGCCTGACTATTCTGTGTACATTGTTCAGTGCTCGACTTATATATTTATATATGAAACAAACAAACTTCAAGGCCTACCTAGGAAATTATGTTTTTCTGGAATAATTTAAGGGTTGGCAATGTCAATGTATGGCCTATTATACATTTTTGAAATCAGAATTAAAAAGTGTATACATCTGCGTAGAAATCCAATATGGCGTCCATAAGAAAAATATACGAGTAGCTGATGCTGGGGGACTAGAGATGAAACGTCACATGGAAATTCTAGTTATACCATATTGTAGAGGAAATAAGCTGACAATGTTAATATGCAATTTATTTTGAAGTCCCACTACAATTAAAGTCAGTAAAAATTAAAACGAGTTTGGAAAAATTCGTTTCTTCCGTCTCGTTTCGGAAGTGCCTTGAATTTCGAAACTTTCTAAGCGGCATTTTGTTGATTACTTGAATACGTAACTTTGTCCCCATTTAAGCGACTTCGTATACCCGTTTCTGTGCTCCCAATGGCGAAGAGCGATTTTGAATGACCCTGTATTTATGTAGAATAGACACATTGCCATAATTAAAATTACATTGTAAATTGTAGTAAAAGGACTTACATTACTAAAAGGTCCATGGGTATATCTACTTGACAATTATATTGGACATAACATTTGGCTATTATTGTCACGTGGATAGGAGACATGAACTAAGGAAGATTCAGTCCCTAGTTGTAATTAGTAGTGAGTGATTGATAATAATCAATAGATAAAATAAAAAGTACGTTTCTAAAGACAAGCTTTTATATAGCTGTTAATAAAATGAGCTAAAAAAGCTTATCACACTCTTTTTCTGCTCTACTTTCAAAACATAATACGCCTTCATTTGAAAACTTGGGATCAAGGAGCTTCATTATTGTTTAAATATTTTCAATAGGAAAAATGTAATTTCGACCTTATACCATGGATAGGGGATAGTTTTTCGTTCATTGTCCCAGAGCCCAAGTCAGGACTATGTTGACGAATTGCCAAAGAAAGGACGAAGCACCTATTGGTCGACCGTGGTCAGACCGACGAAAGCTTCATTACTAGTTTGTCAGAAGAAAGATAATTTTCAAACGATTTGATCAATTCACATTAGTAATCTACAAATCAAACCCTTTCATCTGATATGCCATTGAGGCATACTCGCTTACTTTGGGTTGGTTACCCTCATGTCTACCTCCCATAACTTTTAAACAGCTGAACATATATTATGCGACATCGAAAAGGAACACTCAGTGCAATAATTAATTCGTAACAATTTTTTTTTAGGTATATGTTCTTTAAGGTAAGGACAGAAAATGATCAGCTTGATATCGTCTGTTCTTACAAAAAAGTAAATAGGTGATAGTTGTGTTTTATAGCTACAATTGGTATTTGATCATCGTCATTGTGAAGAGCAGCTTTATGCCTAGAGTGAGAGGTGGACGACTTGCAGCAGGCTGGTTGGTCGATCAGAGAAATAGCCACCAGCGTGCATAGAAGTGTAAATACGGTGGAGGTTTGTTGTCGGGAAGGCTTTACACGAAGTCTTAGAGACACATGGCGTGTCTGAGGTACGGCCCCACACCAAGATCGCTTGGGTGGGTTGGATAGCATTGAAAGACAAATTCGAATTCTTCATTCCCGGGTCAACAGTTTTGGACTTATTTAATACCTTCCTCGGTTTGCCTTACCTTTCACTCCTAGACACCGAAGTGATCGACTGGTTTGGTGCAGAGAACGACTGAGACGTCGGATGGAATATTAATGACTTAAGTGATCAATCCAGGTTGTCGACGGTGAGAAGGCAACGAGATGATACACGAGATTCTCGATTTTGAAAGAATGACAGAAACAGGCCATTTTTTCAAACAATAATTGCTTTGGCCCTTAGATCTTGCGATCTTTCATCCATTGAACACGTCTGGGACATTATCGGAAGAATATTGATCCGTTTACTCCATCCTCCACACTCGGCTCACTTCGGCACGAGGTCCAAGTAGCCTAGGATGAGATACCTCAAGAGGAAATCGATCATCTGATTAGGAGTATGTCCAGACTCCAGACGTTTCTGAATGCATAAGACGTCGAGGAGGCCCAACAAATTATTGAAATGAATACGTTTTTTCAACAGATGTTTACTTTGAAATTCTGGTGAATTACTTCAATTTATCCATTCTAAGAAATATGTATACAAAAAATTGTTTGCGTAAATTTATTATTACAATGTCACTCAGTAGATATACTACGAGATACCCAAAAAAGTTATTTACAAAAAGTATGGGCAAATATAACAAACTTACTCGGAAAACATTTTGTGGCGAGAGTTAAAAAGGTACAGAACTTTGCATTTCTTATAAGCACCTGATCATTGAGGGCTGGCCTGGCTTGTGTACTTGACTCAAAATAATATACCGTATACTTTTCGTGCAGCAGGTAGCTTACCTTTTCAGTGATGAATACTCCAAAATAGCAAACCATAAACATTTGAAAAAAGGCGCCAACTAAGTATTCGGCTAGATGATACATTTCGGGATCTTGAGGCGACAAGAACGATCCAATATAAAGACAGGCAGCGATCACTAATAATGAAGAAATTGTTCTTCCAAGTAGAGTAAAACAAAATATGTTCTCCAAATCTTTACACGCCCTGCAAGAGTTAATAGATTTAACTATTACATAAGAAATTGCATGTTATTTTTCCTAGTCTGCGTCAATGCATCAGCAATCGCAGAATTTTGGAAAACAAATTTTATTGCGCTATTACAACTACACGTCTCCAGATGGTAGAAATATTGAAAAGTGGTATTTTCATCCCATACGTTCAACATCGAAAGCACAACTTTAGCGGTGTAATACAGTACATTATATTTGCTTTAAGATTCCATGATTTTCTGGCCGCTAAATGAAACCACATATGTTTAAATTCCTCCTTTTACTAACATTACAGCCACCATGATGGCCTCTTTTAATTGACAATTAGAAAAGTCCACGGTGGTAGCAGAAATACCAGTAAAAAAAATAATTAAACATGTATATGGTCTCATTGAGCGGCTAAACAACCATGGGACCCTATCATCATGAGAACCACTGGACAAGTTTGAGGTGTCATATTATATTTACTTTAAAGTTCTAATCCTATAAAAATGTGAGTTGCCAAATAGCACGAAACAGATGTCCATGGTTGGGTGGTCTATTGACGGACGAAAAAGCTATATTACTAGATCATTCTCATTATCTTAGAAAGAAATTGTACACCCTCTATAGTTTTTTCTACATAACCAACACTTGCCTCAGTAATATTACTAGATTGTGGTTGCATCTTTTAAGTTCACAGTACATTAGTTTTTCAAATTCTGGGAGCTGTTCATCTTTCAAAATTGCATATTTTTTTGAGAAATGCATTGTTAGTAGGGCCCTTTCACGTATGGTTATAGTAGCTTCGCTAACAACTTCGAACTTTGCTTTTATGCAACTTAGGAAAGAATACAGAACAGTGTCGTGGGCTGAAAGAAAAAAGACATATCAAAGATATCATCCTATATCCAATAGGTGACTATACAAGGTGTTTCACGTTGATCTGCAGGGACCAATTAATCAAAAAGTTGACGTAAGATATTTATCAAAATTTGTAGCATAACCGCTGGGAACAATTCTACTAAAATATTTTCATAGTGTCACTTGCGGTTGTACCGGCAGGGTTATTACGTAAAAATCCTATAAAGCGTCAAAAAAATGTCACAATGTTAACTTGCTGCCTAGATAGTTTCCAGTGTGTACATTCAGCGTTTCTCGCTATGAGCGCTGTGAGCGTAATCGAAAATGTTCATCTATGGAGGAATGACTAAACGACACGACACGCTCAATGACCATGCTTCAAACAGCAGTCAGTTCCCCATCATGCATTGATGGTTGCAGAATGCTGAGATAGTCCGTGAAGTATACTCTGAGAC